GGGGGGGAAATAACCCTTTGCGTAAGCCCTCTATTCCGGCGGTGGTAAGAGAACCGTCTGAATTGAGGGCTTATTTGTCGGGCTGCTCCATCTATTGGTGGGGAGCGTCACCTGCTGGAAACCGGGTCCAACGTCCCATTGATACATCTTTTAGCACAAAGAATGTCCCATTAATACATCTTATAACTCAGAGTGTGATGTTTATTGTTTCCTAGGGTCGTGACCATTTCTGTCGCATCATGGGGCTCCGTTATCCCATAAAGCTGCCAGTATCACCCATCCTTTATTGGAGCACCCCTTGTCTATTAGCCCTACCTTATTTAGCAGACCCCCTATTCACTATTGTTATGTCTGTTTCTTTAAACCCTTGAAACCTTGTAAGCCCTTTAAACCCTTTCCCTTCTCAGGGCCCATATAAAGCACATTCATAATCCTCATAGCCTGAGGATCAACAGGAGGTGGAATGCAATCCAATGCGACGCCACTTTTGAAGTGTAATGTGGTCTTGCGTCTTGAAGGGAGCAGCCACAACACTATGCACCATGAGTCCTCAAACCGTTGTGCCATAGCCTGCCTGATCACAGTATACCTTCGCTAGACTTTCTTCGTGGTGTAAGGGCCTTGCTCCCTTAGATGCGTCGGTGTTTCTGGTTCCAGCTGCAGGACATGAGGCAGTGAGACGACGGTTGTTGCTCCAGTCCTTGGTGCCATTACTGTTGTTGTTGTCTGTCAGTCCAACCTTCATTTGTCTCTCGTGTATTTCCCTCCTGACGAGGTTGGTTCTGGCCCATTCGAAACCGCTCGAGGGACGCCAGACTTACCGTCGTCAATGCGGGCGGTAGTTCGCACGCCATAGCCAGACTATGGTACTACTCACGTATCTTCCATCTATCGATGAGTTTTTTATTCCGAGTTACACATGGTTGGCACTCTGTTCCTTGCAGTATGCTTGTGTTTGCGTATGGAGGATTTTGACAATTGTCGTGATCTTCTCTTCGCTATCTTTTCCAATTCCAAAAAAACTTCGCTACCCACAAGGGGTTAAAAGGTGTTGGAAAAATACTAAGTAGAAAAAGCAGAAAATTTCGGCAGCACTTCGTTACCCCCAAAGGATCAAAATGTGTGTCGAAAGCAAGAATAACTAAGTCCTAAG